AAAATCATCTGCAGCGATAAATGATCCTGGTGGCAAAGTTAGTTCATAGAACGTTTTCTTGAAGACAATTGGCACCAAAAGGCTTTCCATGCGTTTGTAGGACTTCTCGGTGATGTAATCCCGACACACACTGTTTTCGAATGCCAAATAAAAGCGGTGCTGCGCTAAAAAAGGTCGATTTGTACAGCAAAATTTGATTTACCATCTTCCTTTGGCTTTTGAAAGCACATTCTTCGTCAGGCTTCAGCAAATTCGCTATTGCAAACGGGCTCCAATGTCGTGGAACTAGCGAAAAGCCGGCGAAGAAGCTGCCACAAATCTATATCATACTTAAAGAAGCCGGGAAAGATGAAGATGTATACGTATACTGCCTTTGGGAGGCAGCCGAGAAAACACGTTACAGAAAATTGTCTGTGGCAGAAGCTAAAATCTTAATCTTGGAGTTTTTTTCAAAATTCTGGATTTCAAAAGTTATGATGGCAGTCAAGGCTTGATTACACACAAAGTTTTTGCGTTTTTGCCTCTTTCGTTACAATTTTTTGCCTCGTTACAATCTTGTTACAATTTTTTGCCTTGCCAGTCTCGTCACGATTTTTTGCCTGCTTCAGTCGTAAACTGATACTGACTTAAACCTGAAAATCATCCTCTTCACCAGCTTGCTTTTAAACAAATCATGAAAGAGCAGGACACTGACAATCTCTCCAACTGATGTTTGTGATGGTAGCTGTTAGTAGTACCTCATCACAGGCTTAGTAGTCCACATAACAGATTTCGGTGATATTTTTTTTGATCAAAAAGTAACATACCTACTAGATTTTCTTCACATTCCGCGTCACATGGACTGTTATTACAATTGCCAACTAGGGTGATGTTCATGTGACGTTTCAGCTCCTCTACGTACAACTCACGTTTTGATTTTGTGCTGCAGTTGGAAACCACTTGGAACGCTGTCTTGGTTTTTCCTTTTGCAATTCTTACTACCTACAATGATTTGTCTCAGTGCTTCTTGTCAGATTTCAAATATGTATCGACCTTCATCGGACTTCCGATGTTATTTTTTCCAGGATTTTTGCTAATTTTACTTTTAAGGGCGCAAAAGTGCATTTTGTACGAATGGTTTATCTCGTGCTTCTGTCCCTAACGTAATGCGCAGCGACTGCCGCATCAAATCCAAACCTCGTTCCAATCCCAGATCTGTTCCTTTGGTGTTTCACTGCTGATTCTTTTGAACGTGCCATATGGAACAGCAATATCGCTATCAGTCCTGAAAATTTCAAAATTCTGGAGGAAAACCCAAAAAAAAACAATGGTCAGCGATCAAAAAAACTGTCTTTCTTGCGCATGTGATCCTTAAGGCAGCCA